TTTAAAAATATTATATAAAAAATGTTAAAATTTTTTAAAATTTAAATTTAAATTTAAATTTAAATTTATCACCCATAAATAATAATAATAATAATAATAATAATAATAAAAAAGCAAAAACTTCAAGCAACTACTCCAAACGTGTTCTTGGTATCATGGTGACTGTAGGTGCGGTGGAGCCTATCAACCCATACCTCGTCAGATCCGTCCTTGCTGGTCCCAATATTTTTTTCCCTCCTTCAACGCCACTGTCCGTCCCTTACTGAAAAATATGGCCAAAACGGAAAATCTCTGAAGAGTAAAGCCAGAGGGAAGAGGTTTTAGTTTTCACAAGACAAAGAAATCAAAGGACTGTGCTTTTGCTTCTTTCAAAGGGAATTGAGGCATTTCTGGATACTCACATATAAATTTGTTTAAAAGGGTATGCTTGATTTCTATTTCTGTTAGCATTGATGGCTTCGTTTTCTCTAAAAATTCATGCTTTCAAATCTCCCCTTTAATGGTAAAAAACTAACTCTGCTTCCTCAATTCTACTGGATAGCTAAGTGGGAGTGTTTTCTTTTCTCTATTTGATTGAAAAGTTCTGAACTTTGGCTTCAAGATGAACTCATTACGGAAAATATGCGTATTGATAATGTCCCTGGCTGTTTCTTTCTGCAGGCTGGTTTTAATTCGTTGCATTCATTGTATCGAGCAGTGAGGGGATTTGGGGTCCTTGAAATTTTCATTCTTTTTCATTGGTGTGGAGACGAAGTCCAAACCCCATGAAACCAAGTTTGAGATTTGAAGACTGGTGAGTTTTCAGATCTGGCTTTTTTTATCCCCTACTTGATTGGGGAGAATTTTAAGGTTCATTTCTATATTTCAAAGCTTCTTTAGATTTGTAATACCCCTTCCAGTTCAAGTTTTGTTCGTTCCTTTTATAGTTCCCTTCTCTCTTTCAATTTTTATGAAGCGGGTGCATCTTATGTCTGCGATGTGCTGCAAGTTTTTGAACTAGTTCTCATAGATCTTAGAAGCACCAAAAATGCGAAATTTTCATTGCCAGTACATGTTTCTTCCAGTTTTGGGTATGAATGTCAGATTCTGCAGTTTTTTTACCCGATTTTATTGATTTTTCTGTATCTGTTTTGTTGCACTATCTCTTTTCGATGCCCCAAGTTGTTTTCCCAATCTCCATAGTGCAGTTTTATTTCAGTTTTAAGTAATATGTGTTCATCTGAAGCAGTCTAATTAACATGGAAGGTTTCAATTTTTTGCCTCTGGTAATTCCAAAAAGTTAATTTAGTAGAATAGCTTTGACGTTTTCTTAATGAAATGACGTACTTCTGAATACACCGTTCACTATGATGGAGAAATTAAGGGTCTCTCCATTATGAAGTTATGTTGCTAATGTTATTCTCTTTATGCTAGAGTGGCTTCTCACTCTGGGATTATGTGCATGGAATTTGGCATATGTTGGATACGTGAACTATTGTAAACATGGATCTCCGAGAAGATAGCACAAGGTTTGGGTCGTTACCAGCAACGACTTTGAGAAATTTGTCATCATCTTCATCAGTATTCTTTTCAGCAAATCAGTCGCCATTCTTCTCTCCAAGACCATCAACGTGTCAATTGTCTGAATCTACGAGATTGGATGCTCTTTTGGATAGCAGTCTATTAAGTGCTGATCCTCCTAGTACCAGCTCAGAAATTCCAGAACCTGAATCTCTAGCAAATGTTGGATATGCCTTGCCATCAATGTCGTTGACACCATCTGCTTGTATTGCAAGCAACTTCCAGAAGTTTGATTTTGTTTCACCCACCACAGTCATTTCTAATGGCTCCCTATCTGGTTACAGCCATGCAAATGAAAATGGTTATCCCAGACTGAGAGAGAAGCACAGAAAGAATAAGAAAAGCCACAGTATGTCATTTAACCCAGTTCCAGTATCACTTTCCAGATTTAGGAGCTATGATATCTTTGTAGGCTTGCATGGCCGCAAACCTTCTTTATTGAGGTTTGCTAACTGGCTCCGAGCTGAGTTGGAAATTCAAGGGATGAGTTGCTTTATATCTGATAGAGCTCGAGGTAGAAACTCTCGCAAACGTGGAATTATTGAGAGGGCAATGAATTCTTCTTCTTTTGGTGTTGTGATTCTAACAAGAAAATCATTTAGGAATCCATATACAATTGAGGAGCTCCATTATTTCTCAAGCAAGAAGAATTTGGTCCCAATATTTTTTGATTTGAGTCCTGGAGATTGCCTTGTCCGAGATATTGTTGAGAAGAGGGGAGAGCTGTGGGAAAGACATGGGGGTGAATTGTGGGTTTTTTATGGAGGGTTGGAGAAGGAGTGGAAGGAAGCTGTTAATGGCCTCTCTTGGGTTGATGAGTGGAAATTGGAAGCTCAAGATGGTAACTGGAGAGATTGCATATTAAGGGCTGTCACACTTCTGGCAATGAGGTTGGGAAGGAGAAGTGTCATGGAGCGATTGACAAAGTGGAGAGAGAAGGTCGAAAAAGAGGAGTTCCTGTTTTCTAGAAATGAAAACTTCGTTGGCAGGAAGAAAGAGTTGTCCGAGCTAGAATTCATACTTTTTGGTGATATTAGTGGAGAATCAGAAAGAGATTATTTTGAACTCAAGGCCAGACCAAGGAAAAAGAATTTGGCAATTGGGTGGAGTAAGAGCAGTTCAGCAGATGAAAGGTGCAGGGGAAGGCAACAAGAGAGTAGCAGCAGGAAGGGCAAAGAACCAGTCATATGGAAAGAGTCAGAATTGGAGATTGAGATGCAAAGCACTGAATTTTCTCAAGGGCAGCATCATCAAAGGAAAAGAAGTGGTGGACGGTATGCCAGAAGAAAAAGATCAACGAAAATTTTTTATGGGAAGGGGATTGCCTGTGTATCGGGAGAGTCAGGAATAGGCAAGACAGAGCTTCTTCTGGAGTTTGCCTACAGGTATCACCAAAGATACAAGATGGTTCTCTGGATAGGAGGGGAAAGCAGGTATATTAGGCAAAACTATCTAAATCTCTGGTCATTTTTAGAGGTTGATATTGGAGTTGAAAACTGCTCAGAAAGAAGCAGGATAAAAAGCTTTGAAGAGCAGGAAGAGGCAGCCATTTCTAGAGTTCGGAAAGACCTAATGAGAAACATACCATATTTGGTGATCATTGATAATTTGGAAAGTGAAAAGGATTGGTGGGACCACAAGCTTGTGATGGATCTTCTTCCCCGTTTTGGTGGAGAAACCCACATTCTTATTTCAACACGCCTTCCTCATGTGATGAACCTAGAACCTTTGAAGCTTTCATACTTGTCTGGAGTTGAGGCAATGTCTGTAATGCAAGCAGGTGTAAAAGACTACCCAATTGCAGAAGTTGATGCACTCAGGGTTATTGAGGAAAAAGTTGGAAGGTTAACCCTGGGCCTCACAATTGTGGGGGCAATTTTATCTGAGCTACCCATAAATCCAAGCAGGCTATTGGATACTGTTAACAGAATGCCCTTGAGAGATATGTCATGGGGTGGTAGGGAATCTCATTCATTGAGGAAAAACACTTTCCTTCTGCAACTGTTTGAGGTCTGCTTTTCCATATTTGATCATGCAGAAGGGCCAAGGAGCTTAGCAACTAGAATGGTCCAGGTGAGTGGTTGGTTTGCACCAGCTGCAATTCCAGTCTCCTTGTTAGCACTGGCTGCTAACAAGATACCTGAGAAACATAAAGGAACCAAAATTTGGAGAAGAATGTTCTGTTCCTTGACTTGTGGTTTTTCTTCATCACACACCAAGAGATCAGAAGCAGAAGCATCTTCAATGTTGCTGAGATTCAATATTGCAAGAAGTAGTACCAAGCAAGGTTACATCCATTTCAATGATCTAATCAAGCTTTATTCTCGAAAGAGAGGAGTCACTGGAGTAGCACATGCCATGGTTCAAGCAGTCATTAGTCGTGGATATATATACCATCATTCAGAACATATATGGGCTGCCTGTTTCTTGCTATTTGGATTTGGTAATGACCCTAGAATTGTTGAGCTCAAGGTATCAGAACTGTTATACCTTGTCAAAGAAGTGGTTTTGCCTCTTGCAATCCAGACCTTCCTCACATTCTCCAGGTGCAGTGCCTCTCTAGAACTCCTGCGCCTTTGCACCAATGCTTTGGAAGCAGCAGAGCAAGCATTTGTTGCGCCAGTTGAAAAATGGTTGGACATATCACTCTGTTGGAGGCCAATCCGAACTAATGCTCAGTTAAATCCATGCCTTTGGCAGGAATTGGCATTAACTAGAGCCAGCGTGCTTGAAACCAGAGCAAAGTTAATGCTAAGAGGGGGACAATTTGACATAGGAGATGACCTAATTAGAAAGGCTATTTTTATTAGAACTTCAATTTGTGGTGAGGATCATCCAGATACTGTATCTGCCCATGAAACTCTTAGCAAGCTCACCAGGCTTCTTGCAAATGTTCAAAATCATACTTCACCATAGATTCTACATTCTTGTAACCAACTTCTTTTTTTCTCTCTAAATTAGGATCATACAAATTTTACAAATAAAAATTCCTGTAAACAACTTAGAGGAATTTTTACACCATTTTCAACAGAATATATCCTTCCATTTTTGATTTTATTCGTTCCTATCTTTTGTTGGAATTTGGAAATGCAATGGCTGATTTTCCTTTCAAATGAATTCTTTGATTAAATAGGAAAGTAAGAGACTGATTAGAATGCTTTGTATAGCAATTATTTCTTTTTGAACACCATGAAATTGTTTGTTATATATCAATTTAATGCATCAGTATCCATAACTAGTCCAAGCAAGAGCAAACTACTGCAGTTGAAAAGTACATGTTTTATTTACCAAATAAAAAAAGTACATGTTTCTAGTTGTCTAAGAACTGAACCATTTGGTTGCTTTTTACTTTTCAATGGATGCAACATGCCATGTCATTGAGTGAAAGTGATGCATCAGTGAGTTTTACTCGTCGTTTTACTGAGTTAGATGCCTTCTTCATAGTTTTGCACTGAATCCACTGTCTGTCTAAAGGTCGATGCTGAAGACCACGTGTGTGAGAATAAATGGAAAAAGAAATAGATGTCCCCTACCAATTGGTGGAAAATTAGGTAAGAACTCATATGGCTCAGTCGGTCCACTTAATCCAAACTAAGTTAAACTACAACCACAGCACATCAATTAGAATGTTTAATGCATTAGTTTATAATTTATTTTTTTAATTTAGGGGTAAGAGTTTCCCAAGTCAATTTGAGTGTAAACTATATCTCCTTGATTTACTCAAAACTAACTCACATCTCCAAAGAATCAATCCTTAGTCAATAAGGTGAAAAACAAACCCTTTACCAATAAAGCCACAACATGCATGTGAACAGTACAAACTTTGGTCTCCAACAGTGAATCAATAATTAAAGCATTAAACCTGAGTAGATTGATTTACACATCCATGGAAAATAAAATAAGACAAAACGGTGGCAGAGAGGAATCTTGAAAAGGAATTTTTTTCAAGAGCCGCTAGTTTGTCAAGTCTCAATTTTCCTGGAACTGAATATCATGTACAACACACAGAGGGTGATTCATGCATGCACCTAAGGATCGGGGTTTCCAGGAATAGCCTCGTCATCTGAAGCATATTCATCTTCACTCAGCTCCTCATCACTTGACTCTTCCTTTCCAGCTGTCCCAACATCCTCTGGCTTGGCATATTTCTCACAGTACTCTGTGAAATGGAACAGTGACGTGGTAAACAACAATTAGAATGAATCAATGAAAATGGTAAGGAAGGAGAATTGAAATGTATGCTATTGGGGTGTGTTAGATAGCAGATCACAATTTAAGGAGCAAAGTCTTCTCCTCTTTGCATAAGGATAATAAAAAATACATTGGCCAAACTCAAGTCAAGTGTGGTGAATTCTTAGTCAAACCCCTTCTAAGAACATATATATTAGAGACACAAAGAGGTAGGAGAGAACGTGTGTAACTATAACATAATAGCTGTCGGAGTAACTCTAATTTAAATAACTTCTTAATGCTGCTGCAGCTTGTAATTTTCTAACACAATACAGAAAATTCTGGAGTCTAAGACTGTCTGCTTCGTGAAAACAAAATCAACAGCTTAAGAAAATGCCAAATTGGATAAAGAACTCAGTACTTCCCCAGCCTTTTCAGGAGTCTGATGGATTGATCAATAGGGTTTGATAGAATGATACTGGATTGATACTTTTCAGGTTGGTTATAAATCCAACTGATACTAAAATTGAAGGAATTTGTAAATTAGATGTTGTCAATGCAATACAGCAGCACCTTCTCTTCAAGAAAAAATATTTAAGTCTTTCGCCAAGCATTGGCAAATACAATAGTCTAAAATGATATTGGAAATTAATCTCATGCTCAACCTCACACTTTCGTGCAGCCAAGCACCATGTAAACCAAACCTTTTTAGATGGTTGAAGTTGACTAAAAGACAGTCTACTTGATTGCAACATTGTAAGATGATTGTTTTGACGTGTAGCTGTAGAGGATACTCAAGGTAGAAAAACAAATAGGAAAGTCCAAGACTGCAATCAGAACATGTTAAGGATACAGTGAAATTGAAAAGAGATGCAAATACATCCTATGAGTATGCAACTTGAACAATCAGCAGGTTCTTGCCTGGAAACACAAGAGCCTAGAAGTTGCAAATGCAGAATGAAGAGATGTTGGCAGAGACCAAACTGTTACTGAAACATTAAGGACAAGTTAAATGTTTAAAAACTACAACCTTTATGCAATCAAGTTCAAGTTTGCTGATGTTTCCAAGTTTACTCGAAAATTCAATTGAAACCTCTAAAAAGTGGCCCATCATCAGAAATAACAGCAGTTGAATTCAACATAAATGCCACTTTCAGGTGCCCATTTGTTAGTTACTGCCATTTGACCTCAACATAATGTAGTTTTAAGAGCCGAGAAAAATAAACAGAAAGACAACATTTAGTTAGAGGATAGAAATTTTAAAAGTACTACCTTTCACTTTTTGTTCATAAGCAGTACGGTCCCGCATCATTAGCGCAGCAGCTTCACCATTCAATGGATCTGATGGATTGGGATACAAAAGAAGTTGAGGAAGAAACACTTCAAACACATTCACCAGATCTGAAATTCAATGTAAGAAGAGAATCAAATTCAATAACAAAGTTCTGAAATAATTAGCTGCTATATGTGAAGAAGAAAACAAATAATGTGTCAGGTTTACCAAACATGGGACTCCAAGTCTGATTGATAACATCCAAACAAACTGAACCAGACCTGTAATTCCAAGTTCATTGTTAAAAACAAAAGCTAATAATGAGGCACTCCACACAATTACTTCCATTTTTTCTTTGTCCAGTCTCCCAAAGAGCCTTGCAGTTAGTACTGCCACTAAAACAAGTCAAAGCAGTGGAAATGAACTCACATTTCATCAACATTTGGGTGGTAGATCTTGTTTACAAAGCCAACAGATGGAGATTTATAAGGATAAGCATCTGGAAGCTCCACCCTTATCTTCCATACACCTCCCTGATAAGGACCTGTTATATTCCATGCAAAGATTAAGTTTTGGGGAATTTACCAATAAATTTGTTCCTGATTTAGGAAAATCATTGAACAAAAAAGCAGCCCCTCATTTGACTTAAAAACAAAAAAAAAAAACTTTCCCTTTAGAGTATATCAGCATAGTTTAATGGACAAAATCTTCAACCAAAAAATCCAACAAGTGGATTCTATTATCAGTAAAGGGAAAAAGAAATAGATATGCAATAGCTAGTCATGATTCAAGAATAAATCTAAGTAACTACAGCCTCAGCCTCAGCATCTGAGGGGTCAAAACAACCACACAAAAAAACCCAAAAAGAGAGCATCAAAATCACTTAAATCAGATACAGAAACACACAAATGGATCACAAAAAATAGAGTTTAGAAAAAATAAGACTAGGGCGTAGATTGATTTTACTGTCTTTTGGTCCATTGAATTCCACATAGAACTCCTGCATGCCATCGTTGATCATCTCTACCTTGTAGTCACTCATCATCCTAGTTCAAGTCAATCAAAACCAAACCCAGAAATCATAAAATAATAAAAATAATAATAATAAAAATGAAGCCATCAAAACAAAAGAAAAGATTTCAAATCAAACTTAAACAAGGAATAATAATATAGAAGAGAGAATTACAGTTTCATCAAATCCATCTCGCGGCGTTTGCTTGGAGAAGACATTGTTTTTGGTTTTCCTTTTTCTGGGTTTTGGATTCAAGAGAGAAATGAAGCATACAACAGAGAAAGATGAGAACTTGTCCACAAAAGCGGTTCTTACAAGGAAGAGGGGAAATCGGTGTTTATATATGGTACAGACAGGCCGGCTCTTACCCCAGTAAATACTAGTCCAGCACAGTAATTTGATTTTACCATTTTTTTGTTTATTTTATTTATTTTCTTTTTACTTTTGGAACAGTATAATTACGGTTAAATTCAA